TTCAATTAAAAAATATACAGGCGTGAATGGGAGGATAATATTAAAATGTGCTTTAACTGTTATACCAGGGTTTGTCAGAACTGTTCTGAGCAATTTGCAGATAATGGATCTCGGAGTTCCAAATGAGGTTGACAATTTCTGGACCTGCTAAAGTATAGTACGGTACGGACCGAATTTTTAAATATTATTTAGACGAGCTCTGGCTTTAAAAGTGTTAACCAGTTGATCTTTGCAGTGGTGAAGTGTTGTGTTTTCTTCGCGGTACGGACTGAATTCGTCGGGTAAAATTGGTTGGATGAGTTTCAGCTTCAAGGAGTTCATCATGAGAGCCCTGATATCTGCCATTGCTGACGGAAATACGTTTGTGGTCCTCCTTGGTCAAGTGTTGTCTTACATCTGAGCCTCCTTGTCTTACGTACGTCGCTGACTATGGGTCATTGTCCCGGGACGCTTTGTTTGTCAATTCCTGTTTGTAGCCCGGTTATTAGTTGATCGATTCTCTCTTTAGCATCGAAAAATGATTCATATCTAATGAGCGCAGATGTATTATTCTTATTTAAACAAATTGTCATGTGCCATTAGCAAGTGCGAAATAAGATAATAATAAATCATCCAGCATAATAAGCACTTATAATAAGAGCTTATTTATACACCGTCATTGATTTGGAGCAAGAGGGGCATATGAAACAGGAATAGTTATAATTTAGGAACTGGTAAGAAATATTAATAAAATAATTTGTAATACATCATCTTCAGGTGTTGTTGTTTAAAACTATTTTATATTTCAATGCATGCCTTTCAATAATTCAGTATTGTAAGACGTGTTCCGCTGGTCTTAACATTTAAATTTTAAATTTTAACATCCTAATAAAGTTTTGTGTATTGACCTGTATTTTATTATATATTTTAATTAAAATAATTTGCTTTCGTTTGTTTCTACTTATCTGAGATTAGTTGTCTGCATCTGATTACATCTTACGTATTAGAAGCTTTAACTCGCTCAGCTGGTCCTTGCGTGGAATATAAGAGTTCATTACAGTGTTCACAAGAGTCAGGCAAGGGCTCTTGTCTGAAGTCAAACGAATCCAATATAATTTTCTCCGTATTATTCCTTGAAAATTCATTTTAATAATATTCTCCCGTTGATCTCTGAGGTTCTCATGTCGTACCTTCCTTTCAGGTTTTTCGACTGAAATTTTACATGAACCTTTCTCGTGTTCCCTACTCATCTCATTCGCCTTCGTTTGATCTCGTGTTTCCTACGGGGATTTGCTTTTGTTTATATTCCATAAGGATTATCAGGTTCGTTCGCTGGCCTGCCACTAGATGGCAAAGTTGCAGGTATGTCAGCGAAGTCCCATGGCGTTCGCTCTATGCATTAAACGGTTGCTAAGCTACGAACCTGCCCGGACATACATCGCTTTTACACTAAGAGTCGGTTGTAGTCGCCTGGCAACCGAACTAGAGACGGAGAACACCGAACGAAAGGATTTATATATCTTGTGAAATCGTGTAAGAAGTGGAATTTTTCCAGTTTGGACAAAAACTCGGCATGTTTAATGAATTTAGTTAGTACTGGCTGAGTTAAAATCTGTTCACTTGGAGTACAGTTTCTTCGAGACAGGAGAAGCCTCGAACGCACCCAGAAGAGGTATTATGTTTCTTTAGTTGCTGTTTTCGCGTTTTCACGATCGAAATAAATCATCCAGAGGAAACCGAACTCACCAAAGTCTTAACATTCTTATTACTTATGAATATAAATCAAGAACTTTGGCACAGTGCCATTTTAAACTGCGAGATTGGCATCTTGGAAGAAATTAATAGTAATAAAAGTTTTGATTGTGTGCCAAATAGCGTCCAGATGCAGTTTTATTAATTTATGAATATTGGAACATACGTAGACCTGCCTTTATGATAACCATAGAGGGAAGAGACCTTGTAGAAATTATTCCTTCATTCAAATTACAAGATGCCACAAGTCATTTGCTTCCAAGTTACTCTGATTAAGTCCGTTGATCTAATTTTAAGCTCGCTCTCGTTTGCATCTGTTGGTATGTTAATTTGTTCTGCCCCTGCGTCTGGATTTAAATCTCGTAACAATATTTTCATGCTGCATTTTTAAGGTGATCGGACATAGAGTCTAGTTTTGTATGAGAACTATTTTTCCTGGTGATTTAATTCCAAGTTCCAGTATTTACTTTTCGTTGAAAAAGCTCACCAAGGTCCTCTTATGACGCTGTACCACTAACACAATCCATTCTCGTAACCGGCGAAAAAGCCTCTCTTTTAGCATTTCGTTTCTAATAGAAAAATATACAACCATCAGCTGGTTAATTGCTGTTATTATCTGAGTTGATCTGTTCCACCGCTAAATCTAACTTTTACGTCGCGAATTCTCTGATTTCGTAGTCCAGACCCAGAGTAACAAGTTCGTCGGTAACAGATGTTTCTTCCCGAATTTAATTTTCGAGATCCATTTATGAATTATCTGTGTGAAGTCAGTGGCCTGCTGTGATTATTTCTTCAAAACTGTACTCATTTAAGTGTCTGAATTTTTAGGAACAGAACTCGTTCTACTTCGTAGGCCTAAGAAGAATCGAGACAATGCTGTGCTGGACCAGTTTTGCTCTTAAATTTATTCCTCAAGGCAGCCATTTATTTTCTCCCATTTTCTCTGTCTTTTTTCAGTTCTGTCTACATGTCATTTACATTCCCTGTACAACGTTGCTTTAATGCATAAGTGTCCTAACTCGCAAGCTTAGGGAAATCTGAACTGTATTCAGTTTTGTGGCCTACCTCTACACACGAAATATTAAAATCGGGATATGATTTAAATCCAATCCATGCCCCAAACCAGGTTTCCCATTTAAGCCTAGGTCTTGCCTGTGGTCTTTTCCCATTAGGGTTTAAAACAAAATTCTGCGTGCATTTCACATCTACACCATGCGACCTACATGACTTGCCCATCTCATCCTCATTGATTTATCAGCTGATTTTTAGGTGAAGAGTAGAAATGATGCCTCTCCTCAGTTTTTCCCACTCTACTGTCATGCGATCTCTCTTAGGTTCAAATATTTTTGAAGCACCCTGTTCTTATCACCGTCGTGCATTGGAGAAATACTTCCGAACCACCCTGTAGTGCTACAATATTCATGGCCCAATAAATCGAGAAGTGCTGCAGTTGCAATAGTGCACTGGCAGATACAAGACTTGGGTCGCTCGTGGGTAGGAGCAGTGAGGAATGCGCGTGGCTGTTTAGCGCAACAGCGGAACAGGTGGCAGCTTCCAGCTTATTTTACGTTCACAAATAAAGATCATCAGTGGATGTTATCATAAACCGGTTCGGTCAACTACTTTTTTAAGATAATTTTCATCCTTAACGTTGACTCTAAAGTTGTCTCTTTCCTAAGTAATAATAAATGCCAGCTCATTTAAAACAGATAAGCTTAATTTTGTTTACTGGTGTAATAGTTTATGTTTCAGTCGCAAAGAGAATATTACGCTTTTGCATTGAATCGAGCTTTGGTATTGTTCATAAGCTCAGTGCTTTTTAACTAAACCCAATCGCGTGTGGTCAGCGTGTCATTTGTGCAAATAGATTGTGTCTGATTCTAAACTCTTGCCATAAACGAGAAAGAAATTGAATCGTGCCCTTAATTTTAAAATTACAAGTTATCCAGACTCTCTGATTTCGTCTCCAGCACATGTAAATCTGTTAAAAGAGAGAGCCAATAGTCTTAAAACTTTTGAAGCAGAATGTACGACCTATAAGAAAAAAACTGTGAGGATGATAATAGAGGACACGACACATTAACAAATTGGCTATGAAGGTTCCTAGGCATTGCCCGTTCGTCATTAATATTAAGGTATATAAGGCGTTCGGGCTACTCACCTCCATCTAGCGCTGTGGTTAAGAAAGAGTGGAGTTTTCCCTCCACTGCGCCATTCGTCTTCAAGCTTCCTGTATGACGAGCCATGTTTAAAGGCATTTTTTATTATTTAAGCTTCTTGTGAATTAATAATTGAAACTTTGGCTGAATTAAATTCATGTTCCAAATTTCTGTGTAGATATATAAAAAAAATAATCGGAATATATTAATTGCTTCGTTGGATGAAACGCGCAGACGAACAGACAGCCAGACAGATGGATTGACAGACATTTGTATAATTTTTGTTTTATATTTCTTCCATACACGGACGTCTCATTAACTATGCAACAAGAAAGTGAGCCATCAATGTCACTTAGAAAAACAACTTTTAAGAAGTACGTCATTTATGTTCTGATGACTCCTATATACGACATATTAATTTATGAAACACGTTATTGTTCGGCGCAAGTGTGCGCTTACAGGAGCTGTGCTCAACCGCAAATAATGTGGTCCCGTTGTGTGCTTGAGGGGGGGCACATGGCCTTATCAAGATAGTCCGCTGGATGTGACACAGTCCGGACATACCACATACATAAATTAGCATGTGGAATGGCTGTCAAACTACTACAATTCTATTGAGCGGGGAACAGAACACACCATCTTTATATATTTTTTTTAAATTAAATTTGGTGGCTAAGAAACACATATTTAGGTTTGCGGCCACGGAGGTCCCCACGCAGTAACCACTCGTCCTTCTGGTGGAAATGGAAGGTTACTGCTTTATAGCCTGTTGGTAAATACATTTACAATTCTGTATTTATGTGTTTCGTATAAACATCGATTACTTCCTTAAACAGCGTTAACCATTTGACATTTTTAATGGTGAAGTGTGGTGTTTTCTTCGCGGTACGGACTGAATGTTTATATATTATGTACGCACTGCGTGTCTCAGTATAAACAGCGATTATTTCCTTAAACAGCGTTAATAACTTGATCTCTGTAATGGTGAAGTGAAGTGTTTTCTTCGCGGTACGGGCTGAATTATTAAATGTTCAGGCGATGTTCTGTTCCGCAGGGTTAATTGGCTCTAAGTAGATTCTAGTGAAGGTCTTCTTTTTCTTTTATTTGCAGAGGCAGTCCATCGGCATATGTGGAGCCCGAACCACCACCGCCGCCTCCGCCTTCAACTCAGCAGCGTGATATCGCACATGTAGCGACGCGGTACCTGGAGGACAATGTGAAGGCGTGGATCAACCCCAGGATATATGCAAAGGTAAGTGGTGCAACCCTTTAATAAGAGTTGGATCGTAAAACTGTATGTACAGCCTGCTTTAAAAGTCAGTAACCCTATCATTTTCCCACAGAATGTATTTGCGGCATTACGAAAACAGAGATTTGATCTTTGTAATGGTGAAATGTGGTGTTTTCTTCGCGGTACGGACTGAATTCTTAAATATCATTTAGACGATTTTTAGCTTCAGAGGGTTACATTTTTATGGGCGAAGTATTAGTGTTCTGAGTACTAAAGTAATCTGTGTTTGATGTGGTTAAAATGACACAGGAATCAGTTTTCAAGGATTAATATTTTTACGTCACTCGCTGATGCATTAAGGGACGTTCCGATAATTATTTTAGGTTATTTCTCTTGCTTAATCAAATTAGATGGTCCTCATTCTCATGTGTGTATGTTAATACCCGCTAATAGCCTTTGATCGACGGATTTTCACGCAACTTGATACACTATGAGAGGTGTTTAATGTCTCACTGGCAGCGACACTCACAATATACGAGAGACCCAATATTTTTGTGATAGGATATCTTCGAAAAATTAACTTCTTTTAAAATTTTTATAGCTGTAAAATAACACGGCTCCACTCGAAATGTGCTATATATTTAGGATCCGGTTTGTTCGTGATAATTAATGAAGTATAGGAAGTAGACATTGTGTATGAAACGTTTCTTAAATGCTAATTATCACAAAAATGGCGAAGCATTTGAGGGAAAATAATCTTCTTTCTGTGACCTCTAGTTAATTATAAAGCAAAGTGACATTTTGTGTTATTTCCTCTTTTCCTCATAACTAAGCACTACTTGCTAAGCGACATTAAGATATTTACTGGTGGTACTTTGTTACTAAATAGGGTTCCTTCGTTAAGGAAACATACATCAATTATGGTTAAAGCCACGTATAACAGTGGGGCCGTGTGAATGCATTGGCAAATAGACAAGCCGGGCGGATACATAATTTTTTCCCCAAATGAGTGGAACGCTGTCTGAAATAAGAAGTTTGTGTAAATCGTGTGTCAAGTCTGGACCGCATCAGGCAGCATTCTTTTGCAGACAATGGCTGCATGTCTGATGCCCTCGTGGAACTGTCGAATTGGTGGTCCTCGTCCGTACGTCACGTGACTACGCTGTGCCCTGTCGTCACTAAGCCCCACTTAGTTTCAAGGAGACGGACGTTCTAGACGGATTTTCTCATTTTGTAGTTCGAAATGAGCTGAAAGTATTTGGCATCTGAGTATTCATAGGTTGAAAGATGGCTGTCTTCCGGGTTGTTGCACCGACGTTTCAGAGGTGCTTGCTGTCCCTGTCATCAGTGCATTACCGTGATGATGAAGGCAGCAGGGACCTCTGGAACGTCGGCGGACGTCTACCACACTACACGGGGCAACAACCCGGAAGACAGTGGTCCTTTCGTATCCGAATTTCCACCGCAGTCCCCGTAAATACTCATCTTCAGTGCTGTGAAATACACCCTGGTTCTGATACCTCACCTCTTGTGTGTTGAGGACTTGGCTTACTTCGAATTCTCAGACTGGAGACTGGATCTCGTTAGGAATTCGTTCAGCTTTCGAATTTACATATGTGACAATAACATATGGGCATTCCAGAACCAACGATTTGGAACAAGAACAAGCTACGGTTGCACACAGAAGCACGTTTCATGTGACTTGAGAGAGAAACAGAATAAAGATGTAAGGAAAGTTTTAATGAATGTGTTGGCAGTAATAACTAATCTATTCAAGTGTTTTGACAGTAACAAAAATGCAGGTTACAGATATACAATGTAAAGAATTCGAGATACAGTACAATAAAATTATTTGAATAAAATAACAACGATGTATATTAACGGAAAATGGGGATAATTGTAAATAGTCTGGACAAAACAAAAGTTGAAGATCAGCGGTAGCTATATGTACCACGTGCTATAATAATCCTTACCGCACAATAAATTTATGGCTTAGGTATGATTCTGGGAGTAAATATCGATTATTTTATTAAACAGCAGTAACCATCGGCGGTGAAGATGGATGTTTCGCCTGTTCGACACTGTCCTCGTGAGACCATCTTTTGAAAAGTAGAGGTGTTGTAAATTTATGAAACGCGCTTGAAATCGAGAGGTCACCCCACATGGCCGGACAGGTAGAACCTGACAGACGTCAGCGTAGAGGGAAGACTGTAAGTAGAGTTGGGGACACCGGGGCAGTGGAGGGCTGCCAGGCAGGTCCAGGCATCACCACCATTAAACCAGGATCTGGGTTTCATCTATAAATGTCAGTTGATGTCGATAATTTTTGTGATATGGGAACTTTTAAGACTGGTTCGTCTTTTGGCCAAGTTGTTGCAGATGCTTCACAAAATGTCGTAATGAATCTCAGATAGTGACGTATTTTTAATAATTATTTTCTGGATGTTCATTGTACTAAATTTCAGTCTACACTGAAGATAGCCTTAAAAGTGTTGTGAGAGTTATAGAGCATAAATATCTTTTACTTAATTTGATTATCCATTTTTGTTCAGAATTTGGTTGGTAGTAAATTTTGAAAATGCAAGCCAAGTTTACAACTTATTTCTATAAAAGTAGACGATAAAGCTTAGAATGTTCAGTGGCAGATGGGATTACTTTTTTGGTGAACATTGGTGACTATAAAATTAAATTGTGTACCTTAATCGGATAAATACGGTTTAACATCTTAATTGTCAAATTTTTGTAGATATTTCTTATTTCTAATACAAACTTCTTTCTGTCTGCATGTCTCTGTCTGAACCTTTGCTAAAATCGATGCACCAGTATGAATTACGTAAATGTGCGTAATTCAATTAGGAGAGAGAACAGTTAAACGCACGCACTCACGCATGTAATTCATTTATCACGCACTTGTAATGGCTGTCGTATAGACCAATCACAACACTAACTATAAATGTGTTTTATTTTGGGTTATTGAACCGTCACGTGTAAGCTATGTTGCAGACGTTTCGAAGCTACTTACTGTCGTCGCCTTGGGGGAGGTAGAGACTGTGTGGACCTTCGAAACGTCTGAAATGCATCCTACATTTAAGTGACGTCATCGCCAAGAAACCGCAGTTGAAATTGTGAAGTCATCTAAAGGCATGGATAAAGTTATAAGTTAAGAGCTGGAATTTATGTGTTGGTATTTGTAACGCTACATCGCGGTATCCGGGTCTTGAGAAGCTTTGGTCTCAGCGGTGAGCCAACTGACTTCAATAAATATTTGTTCATTTACTATACCCAGGTAAATATTTTTTTTTTTCCTCGACAAGATCTTTATCTTCGGCACTAATTGAACTATTAGTGAATGAGCATGACTTACGTTTTTGCTGATGTAGACTGGATTTTATTTTTTTAAAAATCAGAAGGAAAACATAAAAGAATTAATAGACGAAGAAATTAGGAACCTGACAAGAGGAAGGGACTTAGACTAATACGAGAGACGGAGGTCTTAATATGAAACATTCCTCTTATCATTTACGAGTAGCCGTAAAAAGACTGTGGGATGCTTCTAATTGCGAGAAAGAAATTTTAATTTGCAGATAAAACATTTATTAAACGTGAAAGCAGGCCATATTATTAAAGCCTGCTCATAACTTGTTTACGACTGCCAGTTTTCATTAAGATATGGAATTTAGGCATATAAATAGGCAGTTTTCCCTCTCCCATTTCACATAAACTTGGGATGAATCATAGGCTCATAACGACGGTACCATGTGGATGAAACGGTTTCATCTTGTCTTATCAGTTTTGTGTCTGTTGTGGTCGTGTTAAATGCTATTCAGTTGTTTTTTGTCTCTCAAGAAACCACGCGTGGAATATTGTTCATTGCTGCAACTGCTTTTCGTACCGAATCGGGAAGGATTTGCTTTCAGCACAGACAAATTAGGTTAATTTCTGTGTCAAATTGCAATATCCAATACAGTCTAGAAAAGTCCCATGCATTTTTTTTGAATGTTTAAAAAAGGGCTTTAATGTGTTTAGTTGAAAAGCTGTTTCTTAAGTTACAAACATAAGCAGAAGATGGGGGCGGAATGGACCTCTGAAATGGTGGAAAACTTTCCTACGCCTACGTGGCGTCAGATTCCCGAAAAGAAAAATTACCGGATTACCGCTAGAACCAGAAATCTGACAACTTTGACGCGCGTTCGTCGTTGGCTTCTGAAGCTGTGCAGAGGAACTTCCTAAATTTGGTCGGTCTTGAGACAAGTAGTTTTTTTTTTGTGTGTTTGGCTGTAAGCGTCCGATTTCCCGCTGCTTGCTGTATCAAAGGGAGATGAGTGTCCGCTGAGTCATCTCAGAGCTGAAAATGGATGGTCCCATAATCCGAAAGCTAAGCGTCATTAAACGCTCCCTACTGAAGAAGTTAACCGAGTAATGATGCATTTATATTGCTTCTGCGTCGTATTTTTTTATATTTTCTATGTTGGCCATACTGTACGGAATTACGGGGAGGGATGGATCTTATAAAACGCGTATGGATTTTATTGTTTCGCATTCGTTTGAGTGCTCAGTGACGAATGGCTCTAATGCGGACACAGCTTGGGCATTACTTACAGCCAGGAGCCCCAAAAGGGGTGTCCAATTATTTTAGATGCGGTCGGCCTGCAATATATTACGCCTGGGGGGGGGAGCTTTATTAAACACCACGACATTAATGTGTATGGGGACGCGGTGGTGTAGCTCCGTCGGTCTCAGATGGAGATGACGGCTCCAGTCGCTTTATTTCCAATTTAAGGAACATCCTGTACAAACTGGGTGGACCACAGAGTCGGTTCTGATGCCGTAGCCAAGAGAAAAATTCTGATGGGAATCGAACCCTGTTCCGTAGCCCAGCCAGCTGTGTTTAAGTGAAAAATAAGCTGTTTTGTCCTGTGGTATGGTAGATACGGACCGACGTTTCGTAGGTGATTATTGCTTACTTCATCAGAGCTTGGTTCGCTGATCCAAAAAAAGATTAAAACCTGCGATTGATCGCG